ATGGAAATCTTTTGTAAATAACTTTTATACGACCTATTGTTTATTCATCATTTGAATAAAAAACAAAAGAATCGATTAACGAGACTTGAAAATTTTCTTGCTTATCAAAACGACATTGGAATAAAAAAAAATTATCTTGTACAAATCCATTAAATGACTGGAGTTAGGAAGGAGCAGAGAAGAATATACCGAGCGTATATCACACATAGCCAGTAACCATAATGAATACACAACTACAGAAGCATTATAAAACAAAGAAATAGCGGTGCTATTAATGGTCAAGTATCATCATTCTTACCTTGTTAAGCACAGTGGGATTGTGAAGCTCGTCCAAAGACGGTCTATGAGCAGCCTGGATACTCATAATGTTTCTATAATTATCCAGTCTAGGCAGTGCCTCCCTAGTCATGTGTCGGAGGGACTTTCTCGTTTCTTGTTCTCCAAGAAGGCTCGCTCGACCTTCAAGACTGTCCACTCGATTTACATGGAATCTGGTTCTTCTCAATGGATTCAATTCTACCGTTTCGGAATCAGTATCACCGCTTATACCGTTTTCATGTGCCATTTTTATTTTTAATCTATTCTTCGTTACTTGTCTTATTTTCTTAATAATTCTTCGTCCGTGATTATCGTTGGCGATATAATTGACAGCGGATTCGATCTAGAAGTTGGTAAGTTGAACGTTTATTTGTAGACCAACTAAAATATACTGCAGACGATCAAAAAAAACAATCTGTTAATTCCTCCCCGTTTATCGCGAATTTATCGATTGATTCAGCTTTAAATCATGAGTTTTCTATTTACAATCGTTTTATAAGCAAAAATGTTGACCTTCAAAACGGTGACGTGGCTTCAAAATGGCCGCACGTTTAAGGGTGACTATGTATGGCTACGAATGTTTCCTTCAATTTTGATTGAGTATTTTTATGTCAATGTGATTCATAATTTGATATCCAATCGATTCTGTGAAAAAAAAATAGATATTATATTTCTATATTTATTTTCAAAAAAAAATTTGTAATTTTTATTGAAAATTATTGAAAAATTTATTGAAAATCGTTTCTAATTTTTATTGAAAATTATATTAATATTTCTATAAATTTGTAACATAATCTACTTATATTATATCTATTTTGAAATAAATAAAAATCACCATTATCATTAAAAATGTATAAAAAAAATCATATTACTAGTTGAAATATAATCTAATTTCATTTTAATCTACGTTGCTTAATAAAGAATATTTTGAAATATATGTGTTTCAAACATTTTCCATAAGAACGAAAAAACTCTTGAACCAATTCTTATATAAGATTAGAAGAATAGTTCGATAAAATGAGAGTTGTCAAATTCTTCTTTAATATTGTGAACATTTAAAAATATTTTTCATTTTCTGGAAAATCTTTCTTTATGCTAAGAAAAAGGGACAATTTTATAAAATATATTTATATGTTGGCTATTGTAGATGAACCTAAATATTTAAAGTTTAATGTAGAATAAATTAATATAAGATAAAAAGAAAATTTTATTCATAGCATCCCTTAGAATCGATATGTCTTAAAAATAATCGATGCCCGGTGCCCTTGGTTCTTCTGTTACAATTAGTTAACAACTACCGTGTAGGCTTGTCAATTATGAAATTATCCTTGTTTACAACACTCCACACATAATTACTAGCTCTCGACGGGTTAATGCATGGATGATCTAGTTATCGAATTAATCGTTTCTTGCAACATTGTAAAAATGTAATTTCCTGGCTAGAGTAGAAATTATGTTTTATTTTCGATGCACGGATCTTGTAAAATAATTTTTTTAAATATTCTTTTTCCAAATATAAATTAATAAAAAGGATACAAACTATATAATATATTCAAGCTTCAATTAAAATATCAAATTTATTATTTCTTCTAGTAATTCGATGAAATAAAAGAATATCGCAATCGTCATAAATAAATATTACGTATAATTAAATTATACGTAATAATAATTAAATTATGATATATTAATAATTAAATTATATATTCATAATTCATAATTAATTCATAATTAAATTATGATTTATATAAAAATACTTAAATTATTTCATAATTAAATTATGATTTATATAAAAATACTATTATTAAATTAAAAATACTGTTATTAAATTAGTATGATATCTTTCTTATTATTCTTAGAAAGAATTTTGGAATATAATAAGTCAAAATAAGCTAAATCAACTAATTAATGAAAAAATTGATCTTGATTAATGTCAAAGTAGATCATTCTAATTTACACAAGTTCAAAACTATTTGCATTTCTAATGATCATTCACAAATCTACTTTTGAATCAGCTGCAACTTGGAAGCATCGTGTAACCTGAAATTGTTAAATGATTTATACTATTGGATTTATAATTAATATAAAATATTTTGAAATAAATAATTTTACATTTATTACCTATTATTAATCATAGCTTCAAATTATTCCATCTAAATTATTAGATACTTTTAATTATTTTTGAAAATTATTATAGTAAAAATATTATTGAAATGAAAAAAAATGTTATTCAAATAAATTTAGAATAAATTTTTGCATAAATTTGTGAGAAAATTATATAAATAAATAATTTAAAAAAAATTTGTAAAAAAAATTTTTATTTTAATCAGCTCTCCATATTTTTGTTATACATTTTCATTAGTAAACAATTTAACAACAATTTAATAATTTATTTATTTTATTAAATTAAAGTTTTAAAAATGCAATTTCAATTCAATTTTTATTTAATAAACATTTTATATTAATAAAAATAAGCTTCGAAATTCAAAGGAATATTAGAAATTTTTATGAATCGTATTTAATTTGTTCACGTAATATTTACGAAACTGTCATGAAATGCAATGTACGTGACAAATATTCTAACGAACCTATATAATCATCCATTTTTCGAAGATATTTCGATCATTAATTTATACATGAGAAATATATTTTTTTCATTCTATTTTAAAAATAAATTATTTATCATTCTATATTCTATCATTCTATCATAGAAACACATTTTTATCACAAATATTGTTTGCCTTTCTTTATTATATTATATCATTTTCTAATTTATATTACTAGAATAAATAAAAATAAATGTTAAATTGAAAATGTTTGAATTCATTCTTGGCAATATGAAAAATGAATGAAATTTTTATATTAGAAAAAAAAATATTGAAAATCTAACAAAATAAAAATATTAATTTTAAAAGAAATATGAAATTTTAGCAACGTAACTGGCTCACCCTAGGTATCGGACCTCTGTTACAAATGTAGTCTAACGTTTCGTTGCATTATTCTCATATACAATGGAAGGGATAGACCGGTACAAGTACCGTGTCTTTCATTTAAAAAGGAATCAATCACAAATGAATAAAAGCAGGTATTTCATCCTTCACCTTCTTTCTCAACCTCGAGAAAAGATATCTCGAGTAGAGAACAGAGTATCTGTCAGGTATCCGATCCCCCCATAACCTCACACTATGAATATTCACGCTGTCGAGCTATCCTCACATCTGTCCATTGAATAAAAAACGACAATTCTAACATTCAATGTTTTTCAAAAATACAACCAACCGCATCTCATGTAACATAGATCTATGCCGGCAACTTCTTAACTAAGGTCCACGATTATACACGATGCAACCGTCTCTTCTGTCACTGAAATTACACTGAACGAGAATTAGCCCAATATGCACATTTATGCATTCGCGTAAGCACGTGCTGCTTCTGTCATACGTGCTCGTGTGATTTCTCAGACTCGCCACTCCACGACACGTCTAACCGTCACAAAATCCCGATTCCTACTGACGGAACATCGCACAATTCCCCTCTCTTTAGTCCATTCGCGCGCTCACGTACATACATACGCGTAATCGTGTTCGTATAACAGTGCACCCTTGCACACATGTAACAGAATTAGCAATACACAAGCATTATGTTATACATTCACTTTCTTATAGTGCACTGCGAAACATCACTTAATTCGGAACATCCTTTGTAAGTAACATATTCTTTCTTTTTTCTTTTTCGTTTATTTCGAAAAATTATAGTATTTAAGTATTAGTAATAATAATTTTAAATATAATTAATAATTTTAAAATCATGAAACTGTGAACTTATATATATGAAACTTATAATAGATATTTTTATTAGACTAATTTCTTAAGATTAAATAAAAAAAAATTAAATAATTCATTCATATATATTTATTTAAATTTCATATTAAAAATTTGATTTATTATTTAAAATATATATTAAAATTCATCATATATGATATCACATAAATTATTTTTTTTTATATTAAATAATAATAAAAATAAAAATCAAACAATAAATTAATTTTGAATAGTATTTTTAATGCGTTAAAGCCTTTATGCTATCTATATATTTTAAAAAATACGATATACATTATAAAATATACATTAAATATTAAAAATGCAATTTTGCAATTACATATTCGTGTTTATGTAATAAAAAATTCAAAATTAAAATATGCATTTTATAACAACATTTTTTTAATAATCCCTTAAAAAATGTACAAATAAAAATAAATTGTTTTATAATATATCAAAATATTATATAAATATACACAATTTTAAATTGTATATATTTAAGAAATAATTAAATTTTTATTGTAAAAAAATCTGATTAAATTTAGTTAATTTAATCTGTAAATTAAATAATAAAGGATATTTTTTTTTTAAAGAAGTATGCAATTAAATTTTTAATTACTTAGTTTTATTATTTCTTTATATTTACCACTTTTATATATACATTAATAAAATTATATAAAATATAATTATTAATATTATCAAAAGTATATAAACAGAGAAATTATATTGTTTCTTTTTTATTTCTTAAAACACAAAAATTTTATTTTATATATCTATTCTATTATTTTATAATTTTATGCATTCAAAAATGTTTTTAAAATTGAAACATTAATTAAAATTTTTCGATTAAAAAATTGTTCATCTTTTAAATTTTATAAAGTACTTTTAATTTAATGCATAAAAATAAGAAATATACAATTTTTGTATATAGTATTCAAATAAGTGTACTGTAAATTCTAATTTAATGAACTTAATTATTGATTAAACCACTAAGCACAAGTTCAATTGCTGCTCTTAAATCATGATTTGTGAGACGTAATGCTCGACGATTCACTCTATCATTTTGCAATCCTAATTCATGCATTTGCGCTAACATTCGTCGTAAATTTGACGGTCTCGGTAAAACTAATGGTGAATGAACTTGTTGCATAGCTTGTGTAAACATTTCTGCTGTTATTATTCGAGAATTCGCGCTACTAGCTGAAGTAGAAGAAGAAGAATCAGAAAGGGGAAAACTTCCAGCTCTTGCTCTAGAAACTGCTGCTGCAAGTTGCGCAACAGTAACAGTAGAATTTGTTGGATTAGAAGATAAATTTGACGGTTGTGTAGAATCTGAAGACTGAGAAGAATCCCCTGCCATTTCTTCATCACCACTTAAATTATCTAAACTATAAGAAAAAGCAGCAGATTCTGAATTAGACAATGAAGAATTGATGCCAAAAGTTATGTTGTTATGTGCTTCAGCATGAACAGCTGCAGCTATATTTTGGGCAGCTTCTACTAAAACAGGATGTGCTTCTGCAAATCTAATAAAAAAATTAATATATATTATAATTCTAAATAATTAGAAAATTAAAAAATATATGAAAGCTTACCTTCGAACAGTATCTACATCTGTAAAATATGACATTAAATCAGGGTCTTGTAAAATAGCAATTGCTACAGTATCTTCATGTAATCCAGGAGAAGATGAAATAATATTATCCATAACTTCTGGTTTTTTCCCTATACGCTAAAATTAATAAGTATTTTCTGTAATAAATTTTAAATATTATAAATTACATAAATATATAGTAAAATCAATATACACTTAAAGCACTTCGAAGTCCAGGGTTTTCTTTGAAGGACTTAAATGCAGATACAAGTTGTAAAATACCATCCTCTGATATATATTTAGGAAATGATGGTAGTTCTGGTTCCCTTTTTCTTAAAACATGTATCATTGCACCATTTTTTAAACCATAAGATTCTAAAGTCATATCATCTTCAAGAACACATCCACAATAAATCAATTCTACAAAAAAAATAAAATGAAACATATTAAGATACTTTTATTATACATATTTATAGTTGTAATTTAATAATTATCTAATAAAAACAATTACATATGTTTGTATAATATCAATAGGACATTATATATTATTTTTCTATTAAAGAAAATTAAAACATTGACTTAAGAAAATTGATTTAAGGGAAAAAAGAACAAAAAAATATAAAAAAAAAGAGAACAAAGAAATCTTACCAAATAATTCTTTTGATAGGTTAACCCTTCCAGCTGTTTCATATTTCAGTTCTGCTACTTTTGTCTTAAAATTAATATCACTTAATTTAATTGTAGTTAATGTTTGAAGATCTAAACGTACACCTAAAATTAATTCTGAACTCATTATTGTCACAAAATATTACTTGAAAACACAACACAATACACTTTTAAATCGATACACTCTTCGATTTTACAAAATCATCATGAAGCGTTTATCGTGTTTCTTGTATCGTTTTATTACTAATATTTTAATATTATCACTTAATCATTTTGTAAAAATTTTTAAATAATTTTAAATTTAAAATTACTTTTTTAATATTAATTCTAATATTTTATTATTATGAATGAACTTTAGAATAAAATAAGATAAAATAGAATATTTTGTAGTTTCAAATTATTATAAGTTAGAAAATCAATTATTAATTATAGATAATTATTTATTAAGTTTTAAATATGTATCAGATTATAATTGTTTCTTATTTGAAATTTTAATTATTTTAATAAAAATATAGGTCATGGAAATAACATTTTTAAAGTTTATTAAATCGATAAATAATTTCGATGATTCGATATTCATTTAGTCGGTGTATCGATATCTTTGCGATATTCAATCTAACGCTATATCAGCAAAATGACGAGAAAGTTCAGTGAAATGTTTGCAATAGATTTACGTAGCTGACATTGAAATAATTTGTATATAATGTTGTGCAATATACAACTTTGATATGACATAAGAACAAGCAGAAATGCAAGACATTTGCGAAAATATTCGTACAGCTATTGAACATGGACGTACAGATATAATTAGATCTCTTTTGGATGCATGTACGTGTCACAAATTTTCCATTTATTATATTTAAATTTTATATCATTATCACATAATATTATGCAAAAAATATTTATATATAAAATAGAATAAAAAAATAAATTAAAATATGTTCTATGAAATAAGTTATAATTCATATATGTCTTTAAAGTACAATCTTGTACAAATTTGAAAATTTCTTTCATATAGGTGAAAATGGTAATACAACTGAAGGTATAACAAAAGAAAAAATTCTAAATCAACCACTTTTAGAAGAAGGTACTTTCCTCTCATATGCTTCAAAGGTAATGAGACAAATATATGTATATATATATTTATAGATATGTATATTGTAGAAAATAAAATAAAAATTCAAGGAAAATAAAAGCTTTTTCTAATTTATTTATACAAAAAAATGTAGGCAAATCAACCAGATATAGTAAGAACATTGTTAAGTTGTGGTGCTAATCCAGCTATTCAGAATACTAATGGACATAATGCTGTAGATGTTGCATCAAGTGATATAATACGTCGTACTTACATTGAAGAGTTATTAAGAGCAACTGCTGCATCTGAGTATGAATATTAATAATTAATATATTAATATACAATATTAAAATTTATATTAAAGTGATTTTAATTTTAATAATTAATATTTTACATAATTATTTAAAGGTTAGACAGAGTATTGCAATTATTAGATGCTGGATTAAATGTAAATTCATGGGATTCCCATGGTAGTAAAAACACACCTTTGCATTGGGCAGCTTGTTATGGAAATAAAGATATTGTCACATGTTTAATTGGTATTATTTTAAAATTATTTCTTTTGAAAAATTTAATTATTACTTTGTAATTTAATCTCTTGTCTGTAGATAGAGGTGCAGATGTAAATGCTGTTAATGGCTGTGGTGCTACACCATTACATGATGCTGTAAATCGTGGTGATGTTACTATTTGTCAAGAATTATTACAAGCTGGTGCAAATCCTCTTATACGAGCGATTAAAGGGTATATAAATTATATATAGATAATATTTATTTTTAATTAAAATTAATAATGTACATTTAATATATTTTCAAAAATTGTTGTAGAACTTTTGCAGGAAAAACTCCATATGATCTTTCTAGAGGAAAACAATCTTTACACTGTTTTCTTCAAAGATTTCTATCAAACTTTATATCGAACGAGAGTGAAACAATGCATAGTCCAACTACAACATTTACAGAAGGAAACTTTTGTCAAAAAAGTATTTCAAGTAACATGAGTCAACTTTCAATAGAATCTAATAAATCGTTAGATCCAGTTTATGATGTACCATTACGTGAATCAGGCAAAGAAAGTCCAATTAAGACTACAGAGAAAGGTAGACTTTATAGTTTACTTTGGCCACAACCAAAAACCATTGTTGAATTAAAAAATTTTTCTACACCTTTTATTGCTGGAAAAGAGCTTTTTATATCTATAATACAGGTATCATTTTGATATACATAACTATAACATAACATAATACATTTTATTTTTATATCTAATAGATTATATTATACAGGGTAGTGAATCCATACATAGAATATTAGATGTTTGGGAAATTAGCAGAACTCATTTATTAGAATTAGGCTATGATGTTAAAATTGGTGAAGTACATCCTAGTTCTGGTAAATTACTTAATGATAACCGAATTGAATGTATAATAAATAAAAAATTGTTTAATACATCTGAAGGATATCAATTACATATTTCGCAAAATACTATTAAAGTTGGTGCTGGAAGTTTAGCTGGATTACATTATGCAGTTTGTACTTTTGTACAAATTTTGCGATTAAGTAAAAATCATAGTAAATCAGAAGCATGTGAAATTGAACCTGTTTTTATAAAAGATGAACCAAGATTTATGCATCGTGGTATATTATTAGATATTTCACCTAGAGGACGTATACCTACATTAGAATATTTGCTTCATATGATCGATTTATGGTCGTCCTTTAAAATATCTTATTTGCATTTATATTCAAGACTTACACCAAATTGCGATTGGCAATTATGTTATTCAAAATCAGAAATGGTTACTCTTGATCGTTATTGCAGGTTTGCACATAATTCTATAAAATTATTTTTTTCATATATATTTAATATTTTCTAAAATAATTATTATTTCAGAGATCGACATTTAGATTTAGTTCCAACTTTGGATGTTGATTCTAATGTAGGACAACATCATTTATCACAAATGTGGCCTATATTTCAAGAATTATTAGCAGTATTTCCGAGTTTAACTTATGTTCATGTTGGACCTAGATTGGCTAATTTACTTGTTCAAGCCGAAAATTTCGATTTGAATTTGTCAATTAACGAAACTATAGAAACAGATATGTCAGAAGTATTTAAATCATATTCTTGTCTTCAAGAACTTTGGCATATTTTAAATTTAAATCCAAATACAACTTTATTGCTTTGTTCTAATGGATTACATTCTAAAGCGGAATTTCATAACATACCTAGCAATATTATTCTTGTTGAATATGGATTTCAGGTAAACAAAATTATACAATTTATGAAATTATAATAAAATCAAAGTCATTATAATGAGATTTTATATTATAGGCTGATTATGATTTTTCTGAATGGACAGAAGCATTTAGAATAGCAGGTGGTAATGTATTACCCAGTTCTGGAACAGCAAGTTATAACAGCTTAGCAGGATGTCCAGCATCAACATATGCAAATACAAAAAATGCAATAAAAACTTCTCTTGAACAAGATTCAGTGGGTATAGTTGTAGCTCATTGGTCTGGAAGTCATCATCTTACACCTCATCCTTTTGCATGGATTGGATATTTAATAGCAGCAGGATTAGCATGGAACCCAGTTAGTGAAATAGATATAGGAATCGACGATAATTATGAAATATCTGAAATATTTGGATCAAGGTAATAAATAAATTAGTAATAATTTATAATTAATATAATAGATGATAATTAAATATAAATATATTATAAATAAAAAATTTTAATAAATATAATTTTATTTTACAGACAAAAGTGTATCACAAAATTATTAGATGTTCATGTTTTTCAAGATTCTGAATATAAAATTGGTAATGCAATATTAGAATTAGGACGTTTAGATACTTTAGTACTTACCTTAAGTAAAAATCAAGGAACAAAAGATTTGCAACAAATTCCTGATAATCGAGGATCAACATTATATAGATTATTAACAGATCCAGATAATGTAAATTTAGAATATCTTTCAGCTGATTTATTTGCAGTAAGTATATATAAATATATATAAAAATACAAAAATTATATATACTATATTATATATTAAAAAATTATATATTAAGAAATATATAATAAACAAATACTTTTATTTAATAGAAAGTAACAAAACAAGTTAAACGTATTTCACATTCATTATATGAAGGAAATCTATCATCAAAATTTGCGTCGATGGAAATACAAGAACTTCAATTAACTGCCGATTTAATGTTGACAGCATGCAAAATTGGCAGAACATTAATTGGTGTTGGTGTTAATCCTAATAGTAATATGGGTCTTGCAGTGATTAATTTAGGAATATGTAATCTACCACCTACATTTAGAACAGATGTAGCAAATAAAATGTTGGCTCATATAGAACAATATAAAGGTTCGTGGTTGCAAAGGCATTTACCTCAGGGCCTTCAAAGCTCTTTACTAGTCTTAACTAGTGCTTTACATAGGTTTGTGCCAGAAACATAATTTTTTGAGCTTTGAAAGCATAAAATAAAAGACTATTCATATAAACATATAAAATTAAATATTAGTTTTCTGCTATCAAAACTGCAGATAAATAATTGTATATGCTATGCTAAAAATAAGAAATTACGAATGTTTCTTTATAAAAACTTCTAATAGTATAAAATGGTATCATTCCATTTATTTTTACAATTTGAATTTTTTTACAATTTGAATTTTTTTTTTTAATAGTAAAAAAATAAAAAATAATTCTATATAATAAGGAAACATTCTCAAGATTGAATAAGAGATTTATATAAAGTATTATTCAAACCAATTTATAAACATGAAGTGATAGCTACAAAAATTATAATTTTATTAAATAATTATATTTAATAATTATGTATGATTTAAAGTCATTACATATAGTTTATATAAGAATATTATATAATATAATTATATAAGATTTCTGAACTAGAATTGGTATTACAAACTTATATATAAAAATATTTTAATATTAAATATTTCTAAAACAAAAAAATTGTTGTATATAAATCTTTTATATATACAACTTATAACAATATTATTATTAAATAAAAAAATTAATTCATATGCAATTTCAAATAAAATGAAAAACTATAGTATATTGTTATTTATATTATTGTAAGTTTTCTAAAAAAAAAATAACATTTTTATATTTAAATGTTTGTAATATTATTTTATGTTAGTCCAATATAATACATTCTGGTATTAAAAATTTTTTATACTATATTAAATACATATGTAAAAAAATAAAAATACTATAGGTATTTTTAAAAATGACATTTTTTAATATTAGAATAAATAAATATAATTATTATTATTATATAATAATTAATCCTATAACTTACATATTTTTAACATATGGAATATATATTATAAATATTCTTTATTAATATAAAATTAATAATTTAATGAAAGTATATTATAAAACATAAATTATAAATTTATTGTATATTATTCACAAGATTATTTTTATTGTTTTCATTCCATCCACCCATTTCTAAATCTTGTTTATGTAACATCTCATTTTCAAGAGCTTGAAGTCTATAAAATTCATTGATTTCAAACTGATATTTAGGTGCTGTGATACCAAAAAAATTAGCTAACCATTCGCCCATATAATCACATCCATCTAATAATTTATTACCAATTGAAGTAGTTTGATACCATGCCCAAGGTAACCAATTTAGAGTTTTCTAGAAAAAAATTTTTATTGATCTTATTTATTGATCTTATTTAATGGAAGTTATGGAATAGGAAAATTAAAGAATTAATTTAATAATAATTATAAATATATATTATAATTATAAGTAATTATAAATTGTAATGAATGTAATTATAAATAAAACCTAACTGGATCTATTTGGTTCAGTGTTTTATTTACACTTTTTGAATCTGTTTCATCTTCAGAATATTCTTCTAAATCACCATCCGAAAAATGTAATACACGCTTTGGTCGTTTTAGTGTCTTATGAAACTAAAATTAATTTATATTTCAATAAAAATAAAATTTTATTAAATTGCATTTATATTTTTTTAATATTACGTACTTGTGTAGTACTGTCAGTGTTTTCATTTAAAATAATTTCAGATAAATCACAAAATTCATTTTTCTCTGAATCCATAATGAATGATTTAACTACTTATAATAAAAATCTTATATTAAAGTCTTATATTAAAAAAGATTTTTAATCAATATTATTTACATTCTAAACTAAACAATAATAGTAACCTTGTTTCTTATATGAATCATATGCATAAACGAAATATAAAATAGATATGAAATCTATTCTGTAGAATTTCATATCATTTCTAAGTATATATATACAACAAATTCAAAATTTTATTATATTTTTTATTTGTTATTTTTATAATATTTCTATACTATTTTATAATATTTTATTTGTTAATTTTATTATATTTATTAATTAGTTTAAATGTAATTTTTAAAATTTTCACTTTAAATTGTAATGAATGTAAAAAATTAACATTAAAATTATACGATGTTACATCTATACTATATTTTGTTCATGACAACCGCATTTTTGATTTTTAATTTTAATTAATGGAAAACATGAATAATTAAATGTATATATATATATATAGATAAAACAATAATATATAAAATATGTCGATAAAAACAACACAAAATTAATTATGTTTCTAATTTTAGGTTTAGTGCTATAAAAAATGACGATTCAAGTTTGAGGTGCGTTTGGTCACCGTGGCGACAGTTGCTCAATATTTGGTGATATTTTCTTCTTTTTCTTAGTTTATATTGTTCATATTGTTGAAGTGTTTTCTAAATAAATTCGTGATGGCACAAACACTTGCTTGTTTATATTACTTTCTTAGTGGTGGTGCCATTATCATTGGTGTAAGTGCATATTTATATCTTGAATTAGATTAATACTACTGTTTATAAGCGATGAATATCAAAGAATATTATATAAAAAAAAAAATTGTTTTATTTAAATCCTCAAATATAAATGAAATCTTCTATCTTCTTCTTTAGTATTCTATTATTAAAAATTTAGTCGGATAGTTCTGATTTGTTGCAGAATTGGATATTTGCCAATTGAGTAAAAGCGCATCGTCTGTTTTTTTGTATATCATAATAGTATGACCTTTGAATTATAATTTATTATTACTTTTTTATCAAATTCTATAAATTTTTTATCATCTAAAATTAACTATAATTAATATAATATTTATTTTGTTATTAATATAAAATAAATAATGAAAATGAATATTATAAATATTAGAATTTATGTACTATGTGAAATCATATAATTTTATATATATATACTTATATACTTACTATTATAGTTGATTTATTCAAAAAATTCTATTTTTTATTAAATTTAATTAAGATTATCACTTTTTTAAAATAATATTATGATATAAAATAATTTTATAATTAAATAGTTAGCTCTTATTAAGTAATCAAAATATAATTTATAGAAAATATTCTCGAATGAAAAGATAAACTATAACTAACATTAATATGAATTATGTGAAATGTTATTACATAAAATTTGAAATTTTTTATCATTCTATATTTCAAAATCTTTAATCTTATTATGAGCAACATCAAAATATAATCAATCATCATATATATTACACATGTAAAATATATATATATTATATATTGAAAATACATTATACAGCATAAATAATATAAATTTTCCTTTCTATTCTCTGTAGGTATATAGTATCATAGAAAGCGTTTGTGCTAGCTATCTTATATCGCAATTATTTGAATATTCACTCTTCACTCCTAGTAATATATGTGGTCCAGCGATAATGCTTCTCGTGATGAGTTTGATAACGTGTCTAATAGCTTGGTGCATTTGGAAATTCGTAGATTTTACGAATAGAGGTCAAGTTATAATTGTAAGAAATTGTTTATTTAAATTATAAAGTAATCAATTGCATTAATTATTTTTTTTAATAATAAGTAAATATAAGTAATCTTTAGAATATACATATTATATATTTCTGATCATTATATCGATATATATTTTTATATTTTATATTTTTTGATACAATTTCTTCCTTATCTATTTTTGGTAAAGAAACATGTAGTTTTCCATTTAGTTTTCTATGGCTTTAATGACTGTTATAATTATCAATATGAGTGCTGGAATTTGGGCTCTTGTCAGACACGAACAAGTAGATTTATTAGCAATTGCACATCATAAACATGTATTCGAGCTCGCTATATCAGAAAATCATACAGATTTAGGTCATATAAATTCAGCTCTTTGGGATCAAATTCATTCAGAGGTATATTAAATTAATTTATTATGTAAAATCGTTTCTAAACACTTGCTTTTCTTTAGTTGCATTGTTGTGGAATAAATGGTCCAACTGATTATCTCAGTAAAGATGCAGTTCCTTGGTCTTGCTGTGTTACATCATCACTTACAAATACTACTAATAGTAAAGGAATATGTATTACAATGTATGCACGCGGTTGTCAATATGTTATAATAAATCGTATTAGATCAATTCTTCTTCATATTTTCTTGCTTGCATTGTTTACAATATTATTACAGGTAATAATATTTACTAATTAATTATCACTATAAATAAAATTAAAAATTTAATGGTACCTATTTTTAGGTATGTTTTATGACGTGTATGTTATGTTACGAAAGAACATGTCGAGAAAGAATGAAAAGAAGAAAGAAATTAATAACTCTTGCCCAATCATTTGCGCAAGCATCCAAAGATTTGGGAACAAATGACAATATTTTAAATCAACAATCAAAATATTCTAAAATATTAATTACTTAATAATATACTTTTATTATATTTAAAAAAAATATATATATGTTTTCTTTATCGTTCATATTTGTATCGTATTATACATCTTTAATTTAATTTAATCGTAGTATTTTATAATGGTATTTATTCATTTCAAAGTTTTGATTATATCGAATATTCATTAATTTTTTATGTTACATAAATATTAATAATATATATAACAATACTAAAATATAATTAATGCCAAAAATATTGTGCCATTCTAAAAAATATATAAAATATAATTTTCTTAAATGAAAACATTTCAAAATTAAATATAAATAATAAAGAATTGTATTAAATTAAATTTTATTAAATATTATTAATTTCTAATGTGAGAAAACAAACCTTTTATTATCAAATTTATGTTATAAGAATATAAATGACGTTTGTTTGATTTAATATTTATTATATATATTAACATAAGTAATATAAGTATTATTATATTATTATATACAAATTTATAAAATTTTCCTACAATTAAAATAAATATTTATATAATAATTATAATTAAATTCAATATTTATACAGGAATCTTATATCTACAATGTATAACGTAACAAGTCGATCATAGTAAGTACGGAAAATATTGCCATGGAAAATTTCTTATACCGGATGTTGATCAATTAAAGCGAATCAAAATATAACATTAATTACAAAATTTCGTTGAATTTTTCAATGAAAAATTTAATATATTTCGTATTTTATTTTATTAATATTATTTTCAAATCGTGAAGTTTATATAGAAATATTTAATCTTTCTAGATAAAGACGGGTGCGGCGTTATTGCGCTTCATGACTGGAACTCGTTTCAACTGTAGTATCAGTTGAACGTGAGACGTCGGTGTTGCAGTGTTGTTCGTGTCATCTCTAACCTAACCTGTTGAATATTTTCCTTTGAACTTTTGATATTTGTTCGGATTTTTTTTTCGAAATAAAAGTTACTGGAATAACTACGAAGATGAGTTGCGGAATGGGAATGATAAAATATCTACTCTTCATATTTAATTTCATCTTCGCGGTTAGTACTAATAATTATTTATTATATTTTTATCTATGTATTTACTTAAGGCATGATATTTAATTTGTTTTATAATTTTATATATAATCATTTAATACTAAATAATAATAATATTTTTCTGTTATTATCCTAAAACTCATTATGAAATTAACAATTTACTAAAGATAAATTTAGCTTGTTTTTTATTATGTATAAATAATTTTTATATTATGTTTGATATCATGACAAAATGAATTTTAGATAACTTTTTTTAGAAGACTTTTAAATGATAAATTTTATTTATATATTTTTAATTGTTAATAGTTAAAAGAAAAGAATGATGGTCAATGTTAGATTTTTCATAAATTTTATATGAATTTACTTTTATGTAAATTTTTCGATTTTAATATCATATTTTTATTTAAAAAAAACTTCAATATTTCTTTTAAAAGAATAATAATTTTCACTTTGAATTCATAATCTTATCAATTAGATATGATTGTTCGTGTAAATATACTATCGAAATGTAAATATATTGCAATAAATTTCTGCAATGCCTTCATTGTCAATATCGCCAATCATCTATGAAATTTAATATATTTGTAATATTAATTATAATGAAATATATTTGAAATAAAAGAATAAAAATGAAGAGTGAATCCCAAACACTGAATTAGTTTCGCATAGGTTTGTTTAAACATACGCCAATGTAAGTGGTAAATTATGAGTCATGCGATAAGAATAACTCATTACGGTTAAAAAACGTTAACACTTTTGAATTCTAATTGCTAGATTAGTTTTAAAAAATATATTTATATAAATATTTAATTATTAATTGTTTTATAACTACAAATAATTTTAATAATAATTTCATTAAATGTAAATATGAAAAATTATTATAAACTTAATTAGTACTGATATAAAATTTGCAAAAAATCTAAAAAATATTTGCTATCTTATATAATGAATAGAAAATCATAATGTAAAAAATGGAACAAATATAAATTTTTTTCAATTATTAAATAATTGATAATAGTGATTTTATTTATACTAAAACTGTAGTGTATTCAAATCTATAAAGTACATTTATAGATTTTTATGTCATTTATAAATGAATTTTATTAATTTTTTTTTAATAATTTAATATTCATTCAAGATTATAATATTTTTTAAATCACTAATAATAATAATATGAAATTTCAAAAACAAAAGCCATATATGGTACTTTATATAATAATATTTTTAATAATTTAGAAGATAGTTTTTTTGAAAAAAATAAATTATCAATGAAAACACTCTATATATATTCTTGTAAAATTATATTGAATCCTTAGTTTCCTCATGATTTCACGATCTTATATGATGTTATATGATTTAAGATTATGATTGATTTCTTGAAAATATATTTCCTTTTTCTTTTTCTCTTTTATATTAATAATACTTATGTTAAGAAATTGCATTTCCTCATAAATGACGTAAGCATGAGCCATTGCCAGGGAATGATGAGTGTGAGATGAATAAAGAAAGAATAGAGATAGAATAAGATGTTTTTCGTGTATTTCGATAGGCACACTACCATCATGTTTTTAGTGATTGCTCCACGTTCATCTTGATTAGATCTTAGATTTTTATGTCATCCGATCATGCAACGAGTGTTTCTCCTCTTTTTTAATTTATCGTGTTTTATTCTTTATAATTGAATTAAGCACTGAATAAATCAAAATGAATTGTATTTCAGAGTGTATCAAATATTTGCTTTTTATTTTTAATTTTATTTTTATGGTAAGTGATTGATTGATTTTTTTATTTGAAAATAATAAGTTGTTTATAATTAGAATTTAATTAAGATCTTTATATTGTTTTATTTATTTGTTTTATTTGAGTTTTTTAGGTCGTAGATTTTTTTTTAGCTTAATATTAGAAAAATAAATAATTCATAGAAAAAATAAATATTTAAGATATTTTTCAAAGAATCTATTGACAATAATAAATTAAACTATTGACATTACTGACAAATTAACTATTAACATTTTGTTTGTATAATTGATTGAAACTGAAATAAGAAATGATCTGTAATATTATAAAAATGAAAAAGCACATTCCAATTCCAACTTACCTAACTAGCATATTGGTCCGGAATAGTTTATGTTTTACAACGAAACTGCGTCATTTCTTCAAGGTCACAGGGAACTGAATGTAATTTTGCTCTAAATTGCTTGTTTTACTCAAGGTTTAGTTGAGTTAAGATATCCTTGAAATTTTATGCTCGTAACATACCATTTAAATGTTACATGTAATATTCTTTACATTATTGTAAAGAATTATTTTTTTACATCATAAAATAAATGTTAATATTTCATAATGTTACGTAACATTCAATGATCATAAATTAAAAACTAAATTGTTAAAAATTAAAAATAATGAAAAATAGTCATAAATCATAAATAAACCTTAAATAAAACATAATTTTATAATAATTTTTATAAAATGAAATCTTTTACGTACAGCATTTTGTTATATCTATTGATATATCTAACCAAGAAAATCGTATTGAATTTTCTGCATTATGAGTCATGTCATTAGGAATTCATATGTTCTTTTGAATTTTAGAATATACTACTATGTAAATTAAATTCTTATTACTACTGAATTTAATGCTATGTGAAATGCTATTCGCACGTGAAATTAAATAATCTTGCAATTCATACATCATTGTTTAGGAATTAAAAATCTTTTGATATCTATCATATACAAGAAAATTATTCAATAAGAACCATATTTTTAATATATAATGGAATTTATTTATTTACGATCAAATTTTGTTTATTTTAATTCCTAATTATTATATACAATAATATTTTTTATCAGATTTTTTACATAATTGAATAATTTTCATACGAACACCAGTTATATCACGTATATAATCATATAATTGTATATTTCCTTCTCTATTTTAAACTATTACAGAAGAATATTCACGTTGTATATGACACAACATTGAACAATGTAAAATTAAATTTATGTAATAATATTATGTAAAATACGAAAAGATTTTGACATGGAAAGTTATAATTAGAACGTAAAATTAATATATATATATATATATATGAAGTGATTAAGATTGAAGAATTATATTAAGATTATATATAAGAAATTTATAATAAAAATAAAAAATGCAGTGTAATATTTTTAAATTCATTTCTCGATTAAGAATTATATTTCATTAAATTTTAAATATTGCTTTTTTTTTATTAAAATATTTATTATTAAAAATACTTATAGTCAAAAGCATTTATTATTAAAAAGCATATTTATTATTAAAAATATTTATAGTCAAAAGCATTAATATCGAATCATTTTAATTTTCAAATTTGAATGTTTAAATAGAAATTTTTTAATTTGAATTTTAAATTTCAAAGAAGAAAAATTGGTTGCTTTTTTCGTTTCACATTAAATTTACATTAATTTTTAAATAATTATTTATAAAGACAAATGAAAAGAATTAGTTATATGGATTGTTAAATATGAAATAACTCGAGTTTAGTTCATTATGTTTTTAATATTTAAACTTCCATCCATTGTATTTATAATAATTCATTACCATTAGCACATAATTAATCTTACGCAAAATTTTTTATCTTAAAAAATATCAAGTTTTATGTATATATATATAAAACTTATATAGAATTATTTAAAAAATAATCAACGAGATAAAAGTGAGATAAGCATATGATTTTATATAGATTTTACACAAATCGATTTATAATTTAAAATATAAAATATAAAATATATTATATCATTGAAAGAAAGAACTTGCATGATTTTTTTTTAAGAAAAAAGATAAAAAAATATTAATTCGCCAATGGCGAATATATTGGACATGTATATGGACATGTATAAATATTTACTTTTTGATATCTTCTACACATTTCATGATTACATTGTATTTTTATTTCATACTTTATCTCGAGTGTTTGTAATATGTCAGAATTCAAGTTTCTATGGAAACTTGAAAGGTTGAGTCACGGCGTTTCGGTTATATTATTTCGCGCAGATTCAACAAGCATAGCTGCATGCGCGAGAATTCTCAAGCAAAGAAAAGAAAGAGAAGACAAAAAAAAGAAATTTTTTTACCAGTGACATTCTTTTGTGATACAATGAAATACTTTTCAAGGCTTCGATGTTTTTCAAACTTGTTAACAGGTTTTGTTACCTTCCTCGAAACTTGTATTTTATCAAAAATTAAAACGAAATTTCGTTCTCATTGAGAAAGAGAGCTCATTTGAGAATAGTAGAAATCGAAATCAATTTTATCTTTCTTCTTCTTTTCTTACTACAATTTATATTCATTATTTCTTATGTTTGTTATCAAATTCATTAAAGGTCAGGAAATGATTAGTTGATTTAACAAGATTATACTTACAACATTAATTAACGGCAATTATGTATATATAATATCGAACGATCATCGAAACTATTAATACATGTAGTTTTGACTTCAAATGTGCTTAATCGTTGAATTGATTTATATACTTATAAACAAACTATTACTGACGCTAGAAAAATTTTTTATCTAAAAACTTATAGCGATATCGAAAAACCCAAAATCCACGTAAACATTTAATTTTTCTGTTTTGATATCTGTCAACATATAAAATATTTTAAAATACTCATTTAATATTTATTTAATAATATTTCTGTTTCATATTCATTATTAAATTATAAATAATATTTCGAGAGATAAAGAAATACTTAGATAAATATTTTTCTTGGAATCTATTTTGTTATCATATTTTTCTTAATGTATTTGAAAATTTCAAAATATACATTATATATATATATATATATTTAGTTAGAAATAGATGCATAATGATAATATTTACGATTTCTATTTAAAAAATTCTTATATATTTACATTATTTGCAAAAGAAATTTGAATATTTATAATAAACAATAGAATTATTCATTCATTGATTCGTGAAATTAATTCACATTTAAAAGAACGTTCAATTCAGACGAAATCAATGGGTTTGAAATTTGAATTTATTTTCATCGCCAAATGCACTTACGTTATTTCAAACGAGACATGTGTATGTACAATGTTGAATAGGAATGATGTCATCCAGTTTAGATTATCAAACATATGCATGTGTATTCTTGATATACGACTATATTATTATCACTGAAGAATTGTTGGATATGATTAAATCACTAGATATAATTCTAAAATATGTTTCACATTCATATATTTAAACTGATGATAGATTAAAGAAAGCATAAATTTATTTATTAGATAAATTATTAAATTACTGAAGTTCGTAAATTAATTTGCGTTTTTGTTCATTGTTCCTTTAATATCAATATAAATTGTATTTTCTTCTTGAAAATTTAATCTAAAAATAAGTCTAAATTTCGCATTATCTTAAAGATTTGATTAAGAATTATCATAATTGTAAATCTGAAAATCTAAAATACTTATATGAATTGTTGGCAATCGTGAATAATTTTTAAATATATAGATGTTTCATCATCAAAAATAATAGAGAAGAACGATAACATATTAATCTTTGAATAATGTATATGATTTTATTTCGTTGCGTTGTGGAATTTGTTTATAAGAAATGATATTTAAAATCAGGCAAGTATGAATTTTTATGAGGTTTTCTATTTTCTATATTAATCATATACTTATAAGTACAAAGTTCTCCATTGGATTTCAATCGGAATCTTTTAAAATGTCTATATTTAAAATTTTACGAGAAAGTATAACTTGAAAACTAATTCCATATAATACTAATTCTCTCTAATTCGCGAAGAAACTATAGTCAAAGAATTGAAAGTGATTTTAAATAATAAATTCACGTTATGGATTAAAATTCCTGTGACAGACATTTGCACATGGTTGGCTCTCATCATCGATCACAATAGTTTCAAATGTATGCAATACACGAAGAAAATGTTGTCTTATAAAGTGTCAAGGATACAGTATTGGTTTGCAATTGGCTTTACTTAAGCGAATATTTTCCATTGATCTATTTGCTCTTATAAATCATTATATCGTTTTTATTTTTAATATCATAGAATTGAAAAAGAAATTTTATATTTTATATGTACATATAATTTTTTATTCGTTTTATTTATTAATTTTTTATAATTTTTTACATGATCTATAAAATTGAAATTATATAGGATACATGATCTTAAATAATTTCAATTTTATAATTAAACATACATTCAAAATATACGTAAATATCTTTTTAATTTTAATATTTTAAAAAATTGCTTATCTGATAGAGTGCGATTCTCGATAATAATTGCATCTAATCTAAATGAAATTTAAATCAGTTTTTTCTTTTCGTATCGTTTTATCGCTTAATTTTTTTCTATCTTTAATTAAATGTTGATTTATTTGTTTTTCTGAGTAGTATCTTATCACCGATTACTTAAAATTTACAATTATTTGCTTCTTACAATCGATCGTAGTGATTCTGCTATTGTTATGTTTTTATGATTGGTAGTAAAATTTTCTAGAAAATTAATACAATCGGCAAATCGATCGTATTGCCGGGATTATAGATTAGTTACATTTAATCAATCATTTTAATTTAATGTTAAAGATTTTTTTATAAACATGATTTTAATGAAATTACATGAAAGATGTCAATCATTGTTCTGTAGTTAAAAAGATGTGTCTATCAATTAAAATTTCAAATTCCAAATTCCAATATATTTTTAAAAATATTAACACGTGAAATTGTTATAACAAATATATATATTTGTTAAAAGCATTAAAAATATTATTAGAAGAGATAGCATCATTATTGATTTCGTTTTATCAATGAGTCATTTAACGAGAAAATTTTATATCGTAGATAACATGTTTAACTGTTAAAAATTAGAAAAAAAAAAATATTTTTATAATTTATATTTTTTTTTTTTATTTAATTTGAATTATCATTGATTATGATAAATTTATATGAAATATAGAATACGGAATATAGATAATTCAAATTTATGCAATATTTTTTTTTCCCTTCAAATTTTTTTTCCTTCAAATGATGAAAATGAGAAATATCGTTGAATTAAAAATTATGATGTTCCTGAGATTTTAGCATTCCTTATTAAAAGTCCGTTGAACTAACACTTGACTTACACATGGAACATGACCTAAATTCATCTACGGATGATTGTAAAAGCGGTGTACCATCTATAGTACCCTCAATGTCAACCGGTTGATATTGTGCAATGTGATGTAATAAGTTGCTGCATAGCTTTCAATCAGATATTTATATATTATATAATCCGATCAAAAATCATCATATTAAATGATTGAAAAATATTATTAAATATTAATAAATAATTTTTTATGAAATATTTTTATAAAATTTATATTTATTAAATTAATTCACATTGAATTATTACTTATCTTTGAAATTGTTATATATTGCAGGTATGCGGGTTAGGTATTCTAACTCTCGGTGTTTTGGTACATCTACAAATATTAGGAGTAAGTAAGCAAATCGAAACCGGTCTTGCGTTTCCATCGATAACATTGATCGTTCTTGGCAGTATAATCTTTGTAATATCATTTTTCGGATGCTGCGGTGCTATCCGAGAAAGTCATTGCATGACTATTACCGTAAGCATATATTATTATATATAATAATTTAAATTTCACTTATTTAATTATAAAGTTTAATTTTTTACTTATTTTCAGTTCGCATCGTTTCTCCTGTTTATTTTGCTCGTGCAAATAGCAGTTGCCGTTTATGCCTTTATAATTGTCAAAAATGATGATAATTTCCGCAATATATCAGAGAAATATCAGGAGATATTTAATGGTTACTTTTTGAATTCGGAGAGTAAAGAGTTTATTGATCTTGTTCAGAAAAATGTGAGTATTGTTATTTATTATTATTTCATAACATCATTTATATTAAAACGAAAAAGAAATGAAATTTTTAGAAATTTATTATTAAATAAAATAATTAAATGAGAAATAATTTTTGCAATGCAGTTGCAATGCTGTGGTGTCCACTCTTCAAGTGATTATAATAATAAACCTATTCCTGCAAGTTGTTGTAGTACTATCGAAAATGATAAAAAAACTTGTTCTATAAGTAATACATATGCGAATGGTTGTGTAGAAGTATTAAAAGATACGCTCAAGTTTGCCGGAACTGTATTTGGTAGTGTCGCTATTGCTATTGCCGGTGTTGAGGTGAGTTTATTTTATATATTATTTTATAAATTTTACAACAATTAAATTCAAAGTATTCTAAACAATTATCAATGTATATATCATATTAATTATAAATAGATTCAATGAAGTATATATTTACACTGTTATTTACAGCTATCATTTTTTTGTATTTATATTATTACAAAGTAAACATATAAAATGAATAATTATATTGTTCCAGTTGATTGGCATCATTTTCGCACTTTGCCTGGCAAATTCTATAAAAAACGCTGAACGCAGGGGTTATAGAGTATGAAAGTTCAACAGATATTAAAAGAAATATATGTTGAAAAAACATAATAATTGATAACACTACCATTAATAATTTTATTTAAAGACAGTGATAGGAAATACTATTATTTTGTATTGAAATAAATTTAAATAGTTTTATAAATGAAAGAAAAAAAGAAAATATCTTTTATTTAATTTCGAGCAGTTCCGTTTAAATTTATATGTTGATATGTGATATCAAATATATAAATACATTATTTAATATATTTTTAATTTTGGTACATTTTCATTAAATTGATTATATTTTTTTATATATAAGAAATAAAGTTATTATAATAATAATAATAATAATAATTTTCATTAATAATAATCGGTGCAAAAAGTTTTTAAAGATTTAATAAATTTTTTGTTAAATAATTTTTGTACTTATTACGTACTATAATTATTTTTGTGCACATGATTAGTAAAAATAATTATTAAACGAAATATTAAATTTTTTAAAGTATAATTTATAATTTGTCAAATTAAAAATTATAAAATAAATTATAAAATAGTAAATTTAATTACAATGCATTATATGTAGTTTTGCGTATATTATAGAAAAGTATTTTTATAACAATATTTTGATAAGTATTACATATCTTGCTTACATCTGCTTTTATAAAATATAATTTGTATTTTTATTTGTACAGCACAAATTCATTATATTGTATTCACGATTTTCAAAGATAATGTTAAATTATATATTTTTCTTATAATAAAATTTATTTTATCTAAATATTTAAGATTATTAATATATTTTTCCATTTCCCTAAAATTTTTTTTTAAATTTAATCATATTTTTATTCATAGTAATTTCATTATAGCAGTTTTATATGCAAATGAAACATCAATATAATGAAATTATCTTTATTCAATAAAATATTCATTTATTTTAATATCTTAATAGATGATTGAGTAAATTGATAATTTTATATTTCAATAATATTTTTATAGGAATGGTTTTTTAAATTAAACATCGAACATGCGCTTTTACATTTGTTATATTGTCATTATTTATTAAGTTCAAGAGAGGATAACTTACATCTGTTGTGCTATAATACATGTTATTTACAATGTCTTGATCACGAGTTTATAATGAATTCTTTCTCGATTGGGATAGATCAGTATCTTCAATGATCGCATTTTCGATATAATGCAACTTATACGTATCTTATACCTATTATTAAATGATTTTGAGACTGTAGGATAAAAGTTGTTTTTGTTTGGAACTTCTTCGTTGTAATTATTACATATTAAAATTGCAATACGATAAATTTCTATAATTATTAGATATAAATAATAATAATATTGAATTTCAGTATATACTTATATTTTTTCTTATTCACTTTTAACATATAAAGAACTATTCTTGTCTATGTGTCTATGTATATGTAAGAAATGTGTAAAAATGGATAAATGGAAAAAAACAACTTTATATTCGTATAGTCTCCATTTCAAATATTGAAAATATTCATCGTATTTTAATATATATATATTATATTAAATATATATATATATATATATCTACGTGTAAAATATGTATTTCAATTTTTATCGATTTGATACCTTAAATGGACTATTTTATTTCTATTTGTTATATTGATCAAACGCAAATTAGTTTTTAATTTATCTCAAATTATATTTTTGAAATAGTGTGAATCTTGTACAAATTGTGACGAAATCTCTACTTATTTGATACGGCGTTTTGATCATAGTGTTACTATTTTTTTTTGTTGAATTCTTCACTTATATTATTTCTATCATCTATAACTCATGCACTGAATGCACGTTAAATATATCCGTTTTGAATTTGAACTTTTTCTATTGTATTTTACAATTGATAAGTAATACATTCAATATATTTTCGTTGAAGACGGAACAGAAGGTTATACGCGCTTATAACGTGCATGTAATATCTATGTGTTTCATATAAACAATAGAATATTATAGTATGTCTCAACATTTATCCATAATTATCGACGAAGAAGAGTACAAATTTGTATTCATACAAAATCGTCGAAATATTCTTAATCTAAATTTTTTCTAAGCTCAATTTCGGAAGATGATTCGCGATATCGCGTTACATTTAAATTATATATTTCCATTTGAAAAATGTAGAAACATCTATCTAAATAAGTCTCTTCTTTAAATTTTGTTATGAAATGTGTATGTTTTAAAAGAGTAAATTAAATGTGCGTAATAGAAATAGATTTCATCACCTGATATTTTATGATCTTGTTAAACAAGATCGTAATGGAAGTACTATTTGAAATATTCAAGTATACAATAAAGTACAGTAATCATAGTTCCAGTCTATGATATTTCTTTCATCATGTTAATTTATATGTACTATACATATTATGCTAATAGTGTTCTTAGATCACCTCTTGCATAATGTTATTCATAATTTAATATTATATTTATAGTATAATAATTAATAAGTCTACTTCCATCTTGTGAGCGTAAAATATAATAAATCGATTTATGAGTTCATAAAGATTTATGAATTTTTAAATTTATGTATACCATATAAATTTAATAAATATAAAAAAAACACTATTAAAATTCAATCAAGATTTTATTCAAAGCCAAGCATCAATATTTTGAAAAGGAAATAATTTTTAAAAATGTTATGAAACTAAACAATATTTTTCATTTTAATACATGATATACAAGATGCAAATAGATAATTAATAGAACGATCTTATTTCATTATTTCATTATTATAAGAAAATCAATGTTCTATTTACAGATTTGAATATTTGAATTTAATAACAAATAGCAAATATAATTGGATACTACAAAAAGTACTTATACATCTTGAGAACTTCCATTATAAATAGGCAAACGATATAATAATATCTACATATAATCATTTATTTAATTGATTTATGCAATATTTATTGTTATATATTTATTAAAAAAAAAAGAGACACAATTGAAAATAATAATACAAAAAATTTTTTTTAATATTTTTGAATATTTTTCTATATTTCATACTATAAAAAACTAGTATTATATCGTCGAAAATTTATTTCGAAGTTTTTCAAAATGTTTTAACAAAAATAAATAGATATCGTCACAATTAAACTATACTGACCCTCAGCAAAACATCTATAAGATATATTCATATCAACTTTTACCTTTCTATCCAAATTATATGCAAATTATTTGCTATAAAGAAGCGTATAACAAGAATAAAAAAAAATCAATATATCTTTAAAGATGTTATAATACAATTCATCTTCGCATGCTTTAAATCTTTGATATAGACATCGAAACATAATATCAGCGCAATTTAAATTCCGCCATTTTATAAAGCAAGCGCAATGACCTATAATTAGAACAGAATAATTTGCCTACCCTTGCACATTTTACAAGGGGCTTCCATTCAATGTATAGCTTTAAGGATAAATTTCAGCATCGCAACTCGTCCTAAAGCGGAGAAAGCTTCATGATGTCGCTACGAAGCTCGGTAGATGGTGTGTCATCCAAATCGATGAGACTAGCATTCGAGCCTGTCGAGGAGGGTGCCACGATCTCGTCGAGGAAGTCAAAAGAGGCCACGGCTTCACGTTCCTTGTCTCCATATCGTACGAAGAAATCCTCACCTCGTCCGATGATCGATGGCCTCGATGAACCCCAGGTTGACGGCAATCGTAATACACGATGTGCCTGGGCCGCCGATGCTGAGAAATCAAGCGGAGCGGGTCAACATGCCTCAGACCTCACTTGATCTCTTTTCTCTTTCTTCCTATACCGGCTCTAGCAGACACAGAGTAGCTCGGCTTAGCACTCTTACACGTATCACGTTCCTCTCTCTTTCTCTCCCTCACTTTCCTTTATTTTATTCGTTTATTCGTTAATCTTTTTTCTTTTTTCTACTTTATATATGATCGTCAATTAATCTCTCTCATGAATCATTGCTTTCATATGGAAAGTTTTGCATATTGGCAAGCATTCGATTTTTCGCATATAATTTCGTGACAGCCAAATAGCGTATTTAAATATATTTTCTTAAAAAATTTATAGATATTGAATGATTAGAAAAATATTGCTATCGTATATAGATATGTTTAAAAAGAAATTGATATTTTTTTTATTAATATTAAATTTTATTATTTATTATAAATTTATTATTTATTTTTTTATTGTATAAATAATTTATTTATATAATACTTTGGCTTGTTACGAATGACATGACGACTGACATGACGAATGATCAATGATGATTGAAATCAAGATTATTATGTTAAAAGTTAATGATCCATGTAAAATTTGTATTACGTCTCTTTTTTTTCATAAGATAATGGATAATAGGAAAATGATCGAAAAATAAAAATAAATCGAACCCTTGCCAATGATGGAAATTAAAATTAATCAATAGCAATATTTTTTAGAATGAGAGAGAAAGTAACTGTTTTCTGTGTAACCCTTGACGCAATTCCAAACGCATTATTGATTAGATACGAGGACAATATATAATAAATAATATAATGATATATAAAAATATATTTGCATAATATATTATAATTTTTAAATGTAAAAATTTATCAAATGATCAATCTTATTACACATTCGCGTACAAATTTCACTCATTCTCTAGTTCTAATAAAAATAAGTCCAAAAAGAAAATTATTTCATTTAAAAAAAAAAAAAAAAAAAGAAAAAGAAATACAAAATTAAATATTATATATTAACACATTACGGACATTATTCAAGGAAAAATATAAATTCTTTTAGCATTGAATTTTTCAAAATAATAAAACATAAAATATAACAGATACGAAAATATTTCAAAGTATCATTCGTAATGTGTTAAAATTCAAGTTTGTCGAATATGTGCTAGATTTTCATTCGTTTACTAATGTGGAATTGCGTAAAGGTGATTGGTAACGAATTCGTTCTAACGTCTTCTGGTTAATGATCTGTTAGTAAGCCAATAGAAAATCCGTTGTAGCCGTACAGTTCATGTTGGATCAGGCATCCATTCAAAATAGGTCCCGGTGAAACGA